CAACGAGTCTACATACTCGGAGTCACATACGAACTGGCTGACTCGCACTCAATCAGGTTATAAGCTAAGAGATTTCCAGGAAGAGCGTCCAGTCATGCACGTGCATCCACACAGTGCGATGTGGAAACTATAAATGCCACCCTGAAATGGACTGAAGGTGGGTGATAACAGAATTTTTGACGATGCAGTGCTGAATGTATGAAGTGTTTTAAGACAGCTGTATGAATTTGGTTTGTAATTAAATGTGTCCCCCCTCTGGATGATAAAATGGTGTGAATCGTGGCCTTCTTTATGTAATAAGGGAATTCTACCAATGAGCTTCCATAAATGGCATTTATAGTTTCCACATCACACTGTGTGGATGCACGTTCATGACTGGACGCTCTTCCTGGGAATCTCTTAGCTTATGACCTGATTGCGTGCGAGTCTGCCAGTAAGAACCCTGTTGCTAAGTGAGCATAAGGTCAGAAACAGGACTACATAATGCAGTACAACTGCTTCCATATTAGGCAAGCCAGCCAGATATTTATATTCTACAGACTCAAAAAAGTATATATTTTAAAGACATTGTTTTAGCAATTCCCTGTGAGAATCCTCACACATTTTCGCCTGGATTAATTCCAGAAGCAAATCTTTCAAACATTTATTGTTTTATTGCCATAAAAGTGTTTTACATTACATAACTACTTGTTTAAACCTCCATAATCCTGCATAGCTGTTTCATTAAACTTAGGGTGAATGACTGCAGTATTTAGGTGTCAGTGCTTTAATCTTCTACACACAGTGTAGAACAAATTATATGACTTTTCTATAACATTCTAATTCAATTGTAAGCCATCTGCTGTCATATGAGAACCATGTCGGTTTGATTTAATTAGGTTGTCATACAGTTTTCCGCTATTAGCCAAGCTTAAAAAAATGAAGTGGTGAAACCACAGGTCACTCTACCATAGTCTACTGAGAAGTAACTCCTCTTTATTTTACATAAGGGTTAGATATATTAACTCTAATTAACTTTATGAACTGTTATATCATTAAAATGTGCTGTCCAATAGAAATCATTATAATTGGAAGAAGTGTTTGGAGTTTTGTTCTATTGTATGTATGCAGTTTATTATCAATCGGATCTATTTGCAAATGATTACAAAATGTAATAGCTGATTAGGTGTAATAAATAATGTTCATGGACAATAAATTGTATTGTGAGAGATAACTAACATTTCATGATTTATTATACATTTAAATGGGGTTTGCTTACTTTTGAGAAAAAGATTATCAATCAGAACAACTTTTGTAAACTTTTATAAGATAATAAAGCTGATTTAGTGTTTTATGTTTATACATATATTCATAAATATTTGTATAAAAATATATGGCTGTGTGATAGCCTGCTTTTATTATTAATTTATTTTTCTATTATATATTGTTTGTTTTTGTTCTATTGTACTTACTTTACAATCTTGTCTTTCGCTTTTCTGTAAACGCGTGCACTGCAAGAAAAGAATTTCCCACAAGGGATTAATAAAGTAATTCTTGTTCTGATTTATCCAGATAACTCTAAAAACAAAGCTGGTTAATGTAAGATTAAGAAAGCTCAACAAAAAGATTATCTATACATTCATGTAGAATATGTTGACTCCTCTTGGAGTCAAATTGGTAAGAGAAGAGCTATCCTGATAAAAAGAAAAAATAATTTGATATGTTTTATACCAATTTCTTTTTATGCCTACTGACCATGGATAAATAAAGCATAGATGCTACTTTGAATGTAGACCATCGCAGCCATAGATGCAACATGAGTAACTTGAGCTACAAGAAATCAAGTGTATATATAGAAAATAGTACATATTTTTGCTGGAATTACTTTATTCTTTCCAAAAATGAATACTTTTGCTTCAACAAAGATATAGATTTATGTCAAAAAATGATCTGGAGAAGTGTTTCTTCTGCCCTACTTTTTCATTTTGTAACTAAAATATTATTTTTTTTATTTATTTTACACTTAAAAACAAAAGAATTTGTACAGAACTTTCTAACTGATTTAAAACTCTAAACATTTAATCAGACGATATTACCTTACTCAGTAGTTGAGTAGCCATTTTACTAGTACTTGAGTAAATTCTTGGATAACTACTTTCTCCTTTGACGTCAGTAAAAGAAAATGTTAAAATAGTGCAACTCTTACTTATACATTACTAATATTACTAATACTAGTATTTTTGGCACCTCTGGTCGCACCCTAATGAGTTTAATCATGTTTTTTTATTTTTCAGCGTCCATGCTAACTCAGTGTAAGTTTTGGATTGTGTCACAAGAGTTAGATGTATGATAGTATGTATAGAGACAAGAAATTTTAGTTATTTAAGTCCTTATTATTGTAACAGTTTTAACTTGGATGATTTAAATACAAGGAGCGATTATCCCTAAGGCTGCGCAGTAAAGCTAATCTTTTTTTTTTTTTTTTATTCTCAGAAACTGTTGAAAATGTATCCTTCAACAACAGCTGCAGTTTAAAAAAAGTGTCCATTATACTTTCCAAATGTAAACTTCTTATATTTATTATTTAAGATAACTTTACATCAAATGTCTTATGCTTTGATTCACTTTCCATAGAAATAAAGAGGATAAATGTATGCTCACATTAAAGAAGAACAATATTTAACAGTAACATTTAATTGGACTTGATTTTCACATCTAAACAGCCACTACTAAAATATTTAAAACAGAAGAAAAAAACTTCATACAACAAAACTACCTAATATGTAAAAACATTCCAATATTTTTGTAATAAATTGAAAAATCCTGCTTTGTTTATCTGTCAAAGAGCTTAATTTGATTTTTTTTTTTTTATCCCTTAATAACCTCAAAAAGATAAAACAACAACAGCGTTTTTACAGAATTAACAATCAAGGAAACTACCACATTTAAAATCTCCAAATATAGACATCAAGGTGATACAATAATTTAAACATCAAGGAACCCATCAATAAAGAGACAAACAACTAAACTACAAAAGCAAACCATATATCTATGAATGAATCAGTCTATATAAAACCAAAAATCTATCACATATGTTCTTCTAGTGGTGCTGAACTTTTCATACTGCACACATACTGTATCCTATAAACCATAAGAGAAATGAAACATAAAGGAAGATTACCCTTTAAAACAGAAATCTACTTATGTAATGACAGGAAGTTTAAGTGTGTGTTTAGCTGTGAATCTATGGATCAGCATGCTTTTATTTGCCTGTTACTTGGCTGCTGGTATAGGGTACCTGAGTTTAACCATCAAAGGTTGTGTCTATTCTATTCTAGTCTATTCTAGTCTATTCTATGTTGTCTATTCCATATTAAACTCAGTGAGATAGACTTGTGCGTAGTTTTCAATCAGTCACTCTTTATCAATATTTCTATAGATGCTCTGATGGCATTTACCAAGTCTTTTTTTGCCTCTCCTTTCCTGTTGTTGTTTCTGCTTTTTTTTACTTTCAGAAATATATTTCAGAATTTGACCTACATGTCCCTCAGATTTTGCAAGTTCAGTATACAAATTAGACCTGAAAAAGATGTTGTGTACATGTTTACACCGTATACCTAATCTGCTTATCAAAAACACACCAGAAAGGGCCTACAGTATACCTTCTGGATTCAAGTGTTTCTATCTCATCTTTGCCTTTCGTTAATTATTACTTAGTTTCACTGTTTCTGTGTGAAACCAACTTTAACTCTTTTGTTCAAAATGCCTGTGACTGTCATATCCATTAGGAATTGTTACATAAATTACATAAATTGTTACATGAATAACAAATTCTGTTAGGGTTACATCTCATTAACGAAAATCACAGGTCCTTGAGAAACAATTTTATTTTCTCTTTCATAAAACCCAGTTTTGCCCAGATAAGTCTCTGGTAAGCTAAAGCTTACTTGTGATTGGTTGATGCTAGCTTGTCTCTGGACCTGTTTATCGAAGTCCCCTCTTGACTCTGTGAAACTTTCCTGTCTGAAGGGGCCAAAGTTCTCATCTGGCTGGTCAAAACTAGATTCACTGTAGAGTCTCTCATGCATTTCACTAGATCTTTTTCTGGAAGAGGTCCTGCTTGGGTATCTCTGACCAGTCTTGTACCAGCCCGTCTCTTTAAAGACGAACCAAATGTTTCCAGACCAGAGGACCACGTTCACGAAACCAAAAACCTGTCAGTTGAAAAAAAAGTAACCGTTGTTATTGAATCATCATGTCCAAATTGTGTTCCTGTTTGATTTAATACCTACAGCAGAAGTGTTTAGGCGAGACCAGGAGGGTTCCTGTGTGGCTGCACATCTATTCCCTTTCTCTCTGCAGGCAGCAATGAGAAGAAGCATCTCTGTTGGGTTTGTAGCTGTCTTGATATCATTAAGGCTTTTAGCCCAACTGCAGCTGCTAAGCAGCCATGTCAGAGAAAAGATGACTGTGACAAGAAAATCCTGTAGCGGTGTGCAGGAGAGAAAGACAACATATAAATGATGCTTTGTGTCATTTTAACAAAGTACACCTGATTAAACAAGGGAACTGTAGAAATGTCACTAACCACTAGAGGGCCTCTGTTATTCTTCAGGTACTTGTTCTGGTAGAAGACGTAGACAACTGTTGCCAAGAGGGAATAAAGAAATGCCAAAACACCTACGGTTACGAAAAACTGAGCAGCTGCAGAGAAGTCGCCATTAAGGAAAACCACTTCTTCTCTCATTGCTTCACACAAGGGTGCTCTGAAATGAACCTGCTGCAACCTACAAAACATGAACAGATTGTTTAGAGTTATAAGAAATAATGTTTTAGATTAACCCTGAAGGAAGAATATGCCTTTATCCACTTACATTTTAATTGTCTTTTGAAGCAGTTGTGAAAAACATTTATTTAACCATTTTATCCGGGAGATAGTTACAACCACAACACCAGAAAAAATATGCACATTTTGAAACTTCAAATAACCTGCATCTCTTTGCCTAAAATGATGGTTGAATGTCCTGCAAACCAGTTGGGCTTTTCTCTTATGATTATTTGCTCAGGTGGCATAACATAAATAACTCAATCAATTACAGATAATCCTGATGTTTACTGTTTTATATACAGCAGAGAGCAAATGTTTGCAGGGTTCATTTCTTTGATTCCAAACTCTCCATCAGCAGTGAGATCAAATATCTGCCAAAAGATGACTCAGATGACATCTGATGTAATGTAAAAGTTTGCAACTTATGTCAAACTATCTAAAATTGTATGACTCTGTTAAATGTATGGCTCATTTTATGTCTTTCATATCCTCATGAGGTTTTTGTAGATTCCGTTTAAGCTATTTGTGATTCTAAAAGTTGTCCTCCAGAGCTGCTTTTGCAGCTGTAACATAAAAAAAAAAATCCTTGAGATATCTACTCTCACATTTACTTGGTGGAAAGCTTGCTCTTAAAGCTGCTCTTGTAAATATTTTGCATATCTCTCTGTCATGCTACTAACTCTGACACTGACAGGCAATCTCCTCTCATATTTTGCAAGATACTTCTAACAAAACTAAATGATTGGTTTTCACTCAACAATGCTTCAATAGTGTTATTTTCCACCACATTGATCTTAACATTGATAGAATAGACTATAAGGCAATAATTGCTTTTATTTAGACTTTGTCAGGGAGCATATTACTTTAACAAGTATGAGGAGAAGTTGACAACAAGTGTTGCATTTACTGGGAAATAGAGGGAGAAGAAATATTGTATAAAAAAATCAGTCAGCCTTTGACTTAAACTTAATTAAGATGCATTATGTTCAAAACAATACAGTGCTGAATGACAAAGATAATCTCTGTAATCATATCAAACCAATATGGAGCTCTTTGCATCAACCTGATTGATCATGTTGTGGGGAAAAAATGGTAAAGAGTGTTGTATAGTTTTAGTTTCTTTTATCTGTTTTTTTTTTTTTTTGTTAAAGAAAAAAAAGTGTATTTCTATTGGAGGGGACACTTGTAGATATGAATATGAATAAGGAGGAAAGGAAGTGTTTTTTTCTTTCTCACATGAAGGCACGCGTGTTAGGATAAAATGGTAAGATTACCAAGAATATAATTGTCATCTAATTCATCCATGGACTTGTTGTAAATTTAACTTGGCTATGTTAAGTCTATGTCGGAAATGGATGTGTTGAATGTATAAGATCTTTGAAATGCACTCAATAAAAATGTTATTTAAAAAAAAAAATAATAAAAAAATGGTAAAGAAGCGACTTTTTCTTAAAATCTTAGTTAGTAACGCTCCTTTCTTAAGAAAACTAATATGCCAATCATACCACTGCATATCATGTTTTATGCCAGGAAGACCAAATGCCATGGAAATAATTTTGGAATATACCATTTTGCATGAATACTTTGTTGCAGAAGACACAACAGACATAAAATAAAATAAAAATATGACTAACTAGCTGGCTTTTAAAAGGTTCATTTTTTATTTCAACTTCTAAAGTATATTTTTTTTGTACTGTTCCTCTGGTTTTAAAGGCTCGGAGGCCAGTAAAACACCAAAGCAAAGTAACATTTCATCCTGCTGTTTGAAACCTATAAGGATCCAGTAAGGATGGGCTGCCGCCCCCACCCCCCTACTTGTTCTTAACTCAAAAAAAAATTAAGCTTATACACTTGCAAATGAAAGCTAGACAGATTTGGCAGTTTTTAAATATTTGCAGAAAGATAAAGACTGCAAGGGGTATGTCGGTTTAAGGCTGGCATGCCAAGTAGATAAACATTCTTAGCAACTAGCTAATATTAGTTGGTTATTCTCTCCCTATTCTATAAGGGGTCAAAAAGCTACAGTATTCCTGAAAGTATGCAAAACAAAACAAAAAAAATACTAGTTTTAGAAGATCTTTAAAATACAATTATCATGTTCTTATTTAAATAGGTCATGCATTCCTTTTTATTTTTTTATGTTGCAATTCACGGAAACCATAAATTTAATACTAGAGAAAATTGTATGTTTAGGTGTTTTGGATAACTTCAGCATAATAGGAGTTCAAGGGAATGTGGAACGGTTTTGTTTGTAGGCAAACTAAAATGGAAAATGGAAACTTTAAAATATCGAGTATCTGCATTTTATGCTAAATCAGTTTCACCAAGTTGTTTTAACCAAATTATAAAATGCAAATTTAGAACTGTTGTGTGATGAAATTGCATTTACTCATTAATTACTTTCTAGAATGAAAGCTATATAGTGTGAACAAATATCTAGAAATGCACCCAAAAATTAAGAATCACTGTAGTTTAAGGAAAAATAAATATTACTTTTGTCTGTTCATGGCTGACATCACCGAGTTTCTCATTTTCATGATTAGTTCATTTTAAACGTATCATATTTCTTTATTTTTACATTTCATAAGCTGAACTTTTTGCATTTAAATGAGTAATATTCTTTAGAGAAACGTACAAGGTTATGTGTAAAATACCGTTATTAATGTAAAGACAATTATATAAAAAAAAACACCGAAGACCGGGAGATGTTAAAGTGGGTCGACATCCTTGCTCAGCTGTCTAGATTTAAACTGGGTTTAATAGAGAGCAGCTCTCTCTTTTTTACTTGAGAGTAAAAGTCTGGTCTATGTATAAAATATTACAACAGTTTGCTAACCGCTGATCAGGTGGCTGCATGGAGAGAATTCAATTAGTCTTTTTCTTATCTATTATGAGTGACAAAGAAAATTATTTTGACTTGCCTCAATTTTAATGTCCTTTGTTTTTAAAATAAACTTGTTTTCTGATCCAGATTTACCTGAAAGGATATCCAAAATCAATATTAATGCTGAGGTTGTTCTGTATCCGGGCTGCACAGTCCACTTTAATCTGGAGATGGCCATGGTATCCTCCACAGGTGGCAAATGCACAAATGGCAAAAATCTATCAATATACAAATAAAAGAAAAGCTTATGAAAGCATAACCATCTGTTGAATATTTCTTTGTTTGAGTCTTTTAGAAAACAGGGATTGTGTGAGCTTGCTGCATAATAATTGCACATCAATAAATCAGATGAGAGATTATTACAGTTCAAAATGAGTTTCACAACAAATCCTGAATAATTGAAAGGAAGGAAGATAATTAACAGAGCTGCAAACTGTGCCCTGGAGGGAGCCCACAGCAGTAGAATCAGGACCTGTTTGTTCATGTAATATGCAAATCTGGACCCCCTCATTGATATGTGCTCACATTTTCATCATTTTTAAAAATTTAAAATTTAAAAGCTTTTTGTTGTGAGGCAACAGCTTTTCTTCAGTTTTAAACAATGAAAAATGCCCCTCATCTCAAACCAGTAAGGTGTAATCTCTCACCACATCATCAGACTAAAAATATCTGTTGTGATCACATAAAGGTCTTGTTACCCATATGCAATATTTTGCATATGAGTAACGAGAACTTTACATTTATCGAAACAATAATCGGAAAGCATATGCAAAAATCTGCTCAAAAAGGGAAGGAAATACAAAAAGCCTACTTACCGGTGCAAATATAACCATACACATTTAAAGACCAAATAGCCTGACTCCACACAGTGCCTGCAGCTGTAGTCATCAGGTTGAAATGAAACTGATGCAGACAGAGGAATCAGAGCGACTCTTCCAGTAGAGAGGGGTGGGCTGACAGGAGTTGTCTCTCTTGAGGAGGAGCTGTAAATCCTTTAAAACTCTATATTTAGTTATAAATGAATTGCACTATAACATAATTTCAAAATTTGTAAAATATGATTTTTTTAATTTCTTATTTTTTTCCCGACTAAATAAATCCTCATACTACAGCTCAGTGGCAACAAAAAAATTAGGCTGAATTTGGAACATGAAGCAAACTGGGGATCTGGGACAGAGTTGAACACATAAATAATTTATATGGTCACAGAGATAATTCTGGAGGCTGGACAAAGCTGATGCGTTTGAACAGACATCAGTAAACATTGATCTCTATTCTACATTTAATAGAACGACATCAAAACATTTATATGTTTTTCTACCTATAGTTCAGATTAATAGTACAAAAAGGGTTATGTTTTGGTCATACCTTGCTTAATTCAACTGGTTTTAACTGGAAACTACTTGATTGTATTAATACAATTGGAAGATAATGTATGACTGCATATTAAACATAAATAAACAACCATGTTTTCTGTAAAGAAAACATTAAAACATTGATATTTCCTTAATGTCTCTATAACTACTTATTTATCTTTCCACCATTCCCTGACTGAAAGGTCTATTGCTGACCTCTTTTGGTTCAAAAGCTGTATTACACATTCATATTAAGGCTTTTGTCTTATTGGATTCAATCCTGTATCTTACCTAAAGATCAATCCAACATATATACGTATGAACATGATATGATCAACCAGTATCGTAAAATTGTACATTAATATTATTCCCGAGTATATTTTTGTTGTCAGCGAAAATGACAGAACAAAAATAAGCTCTGTAAAAAACCTTTTCATTGTTCTGTCTGTTTGAAATTAAAGACAAATAGAGGAGAAGATGAGGAAATTGGTCTAATTCAACATATTAAAAGGTGTTATGAAAACAATTTTTTTTAGGCACAGACTTTTAGATAAAGAGATATACTGGTAATGATTCATTATTGTTTTATTCTGTAACCATGTCATTTGATTTTAGTAAATTATAATCCAGTTTTAATTTTGAATGTTATTTTTGTGTTTTTTCATTAAAACTGTGTATTGGTTTAATCCTTGGTAATGACATTGATATAGACAAGATTATGTTTTTTCATCAATCATTCCACAAACTAATATTGTCCATCAAAGCATGTTTTAACATAGTTTTGTTTATATGACTTTTTAATTTGCGCATAATTATACACAGTTAAATGAGATTTGTAAGACAGTGGATTTCATTTCAAATCATTCAGTCAGTCTATCTCATTTGTTTGAAAGCAACTTAAAAGAAAATAACTCAATCAAAAGATGTCAGAGGAAAGTAAAATTCTTACTTTAGATCTAACTTTAAAAGAGGTAATTATTCCTCCATTTCTTCACAAAGGAGATTATGACAAAACATTTTTTCTATGGTGCCCCAATTTCTAATTATCTTACTTTTATTTACAGCAATAGAGAATGATGAGATGAGAGAAATTTAATCATTTCCATTTTACATCATTACAGGTAACATTGTGAAAATGTATCACAATGCTATGTAGTTAGGATGGGAAAGATTAAAGATATTAATAACAACAAAAACACTGATAAATAAAGCTGTGTACTTTTGAATGTCTGATACTGTAAGAAATTTGTAAAACCTTATAAGTTATAACTTGGTTCAAACCAGAAGTAAACATCACATCCCCAAAAAAATGACTGAATATTACTGATGTAACAGGGAATTGCGTAAGCATTAGGATCAACTGTGTATTTATAAATGAAATAAAGGTTTACCGATTTCAGTCAATGTGATCCTAATTACATGTGACTAGATATGACGTGTTATTTAAAGCCAATAGATCTGTGGAGGTGTTTGTGTCAAGAGCTGGGTAAAATAAAGGGATGTTACTGCTAATCAGATGAGAAAAGGTTACAGTTCACAAATCGGGACAAAGAGATTACAACCTTCAGCATCATAACAAAAACTGAACACGATTGTACAAAACTAAAGGTACATGCTTCTCTTCTTCAAAGGTCAGCACCAAAGCTTTTAAAGCTTAAAACATTGGAAAATTCTGATCTTTAACCTGGCGTGTTGTAAAACAAGGTTTAATCTGTTTATTTCTGAGCGATCATGTCACTTTAAGTTACACATATTTTTGGTTTAACTTTTTAGGGTGTCTGTTTAACTGGCAGTCACTATCACAAAAAAATTGATCAGCTTGATTGATTCCCTTGTTTGCTGATTATGAAAATTTGATTTTCATAACCAGGAAATGTATCACTTTATAAGAAATACTATTTTTATTCTATCGCTAGAAACCATTATTATTGTCAAAAAGTGTATTAAAATTGATCAAATAAAGAAAGTAAAGTACAAGCCAAGATTTTAGAAAAATTAAAAATTAAGATCAAACACATCACACATCCTACTTCAGCTGGGACTTACAAGGCACACTGTTTCTATAGATTAGCTGAAAGTGTCCCTTTTCTATTAAGTTTCTACATTTTGTTGTGAACTCTTCAATATATGAAAATTACATGTTGATGATTTGTTTATTGTCAGAGGTGAATAGATCCAACTTTAAAAAAGTAAAAACCATAACAAGTTTTCCTTCATCCTATTCATTTAATCAGGTTATTTTAAACCAGTGGTTTCAAATTTAACTCATTGAGGGCCTTTATCTTGCAGCTCAGATGTGCCCCTTTGTCCTTGTTGTTGTTATGTGAGGTAAGCCCTACCCTTTAACTTGAAACATGTTTGAAATTTAGTCGGCCCTCGTATTGTGAGCAAATCCTGCTGTTGACGCAGTTACAATGTTCTAGGAGCCAATTTACAAGAACCTCACACGCTGCGCATGTGCAAACAAGGGATTTCTTTTTTTTCTTCTTCCAGACTGACGAATCCGACCGGCGTCATGTCTTGGACGAAGACGTAGCAGGTAGATTTCATCAGAGAGTTGAGAGGTACAGTGTAAGAACATGCATTGTGAGCTGTGAACTTTTAAATCCTGCAATTTTATTGTACAGTTTAGCCATAACTTATACAGCAAGAAAAATGTACCAGTTAAAACTAAATGATAAAGGTGTCTCAAATACAGAAACTGAATGTCCACAATTTCTGTAGAATTTGCTACGTGTCAGGACAGCCCTGCTGCCTCTGCCATATTTCTGCTCTCTCCACAAGTGACTGTAGTTAACAGGTGGGCGGGGTGTGTACACCTGCAGCTGGTTCAGCAGCGTTCAGTGGCATTATAAGAACTGCACTCAGACAGCTGGAGGATGTCAGAGTGTTAACCGTTGTGGTTCCCTCTTGTGCTCCCATTGGCTTCCTCGCATGTTGGATACCTCAACTATGCTCTGACATTGCAAGCCAAATTCTCTGGTTACCTACGTCCTGGATTTTGTGCTGGACTCCCTCTTGTGCTCCCTTGGTATTACCAAGCCTGGCTGTGAAGCCTCATCGGATCTACCTGGTTTCTCCTGCTGTCCTCCGATCCCTGGACCCACCGGCGCTGTCCCTGCCCAAAAGCAGAGATGTAAAAATTACAGCAGTATTTTATTTAACCGACTAAGGTGGAAAATGTGCAAAATCAGCAAAAATTTTAACAACTTACTGAGGTTGTTGGGAACAGTGGTAGTTATTCTTACAGCTGCTTGAAGGGAGGATCTGTGATAACGCTCCCTGGTGCATTTAGGGTGCAGCAGTCTCTCACTGAAGGAGCTCTCCAGTTCTGCAACAGCTTCATGCACGGGGACGGAGACATTATCCAACAGAGATTTTAATTTAGTTAGGATCCTTTTGTTTCCATCCTCCTGCACTGAGTCGAGAGGGCATCCAATCACATAGCTTGCTTTTTTAGGAGCATCCCCTGCAATCCAAAAGACCTCAGTTTCCTCAGCAGGAAGTGTCTGCTCTGACCTTTCTTATACAGAGACTCAGTGTTGTGAGTGAAGTCCAGTTTGTTATTCAGATGAACACCTTGGTACTTATGAGAGTCCACTACCTCAATGTCCATTCTCTGGATGGTCACCGGTGTCAGTGGGGTGGATCTGCTTCTGCGAAAGTCCACCACTAGCTTTTTGGTTTCCCCTGCATTTAACAGAAGGTGGTTCTGCTGTCACCAGAGCACAAAGTTCTGGGTCCAGTCTTGTATTCTGAGGCGTAATAATGTCTACGAATCTGGGTTCTTTGGGATATTTTCGGGGTTTGATACTAGTTTTGATTTCTGTTACATTGTGTTTCCCTAAAACATAGTAGACTGTAGATCCAGAGATTTATGAACTCAGGTTGTTTTCTATGTAGTAGCCCCTAGAGAAGTACAGAGTGGGGTTAGGCTTGATTGTGACAACAACAATAGGTATTCTAGCTTTTGAATAAACACATTATAAATGTCATAAATGTATTAGTCTTAATGTGTAAAAAGTCTTTCAAAACAACGATAGCAGTGTGAGTTTATACATTTTATTTATTTTAACTGTCGCAGTAGGATAAAATTGAGTGGACATGGTTTAAGCGGCCTTAACGGACACTTCATCAGGGCCTCAGTTTTGATTATTTAGGATACCTATTTTATACCCTTACTTGTGTTTTTTAATCATTCAGATTTGGATGGGTGATTAATAAAACATATTTCTGTGGTGTGAAAAGCTGAGAACAGAATTTAGTTATACTGTACCTGGTCTTTAATGTAGTATAATATGCATAGTAAATGCATATTAAGCAAAGTGAATAGATTAATTATGCAGTAATTAAAATACATATTCTGCTGACATATGCCATAAAATATGCAGTGCATTTTCTAGTTTAAGAATTACTTTCTGTACCACACAATGCATTAAGAATTTAATTTGAAGAACTTTAAGTATTTATCTCAGAGAAGAATATATTGTATTCATGTAAGAGCAGAATGTACAGTATGCAGGTGAGAGTGGAATGTATGAGTGAGAGGAGAAAGTTTGCGTGCCAGATTTGAATGTATGTGTGTAA